CACTCTAGTACTGTGGTCTGTGTTCTGCAAAAAAAATCTGTGTTTTGTCACAGACATGTCAGCACTTAGCAAAAACAACATATGATGGCATGGCTAAAGCATTTGTATGAGTCTTTTGTATATTTCTATATTCGTTTGGATTTTTTTATTAGCAAATGCACAGAGTAAACAATGCAAAAGTAATATACACTAAAACGTATACCTTATTCATCATGCCTTATGAGATCCACCTTATTCACAATAATCTTTTATATGAGCAAAGGTGGATACTATTTTGTGAGTCTTCCAATGAATGTGATGAATAAGTGCCTTCCAAAAATGTTAACTTGACAATCTAATGTTCGTCAATGCAGGACATCACATTAGGGGTTGCAATTGGTTCATCTACGCAAATAGCAATGTTTGTGGTAATTCTTTGAACTGTCTTCTTTTCCACTTTTTCCTTTGATGGAAGAATAGAGCCTGTTTCTTTTCCACTTATTCCGCCCCTTTGTCAGTTCATAATTTGTGCTGCATGGTTTACACACTTTTAATCATTACAATCAGTGGAAAATATTTCTTCTTTATGATCTTGTTGTAGTTAGACCTTTTCTTTTGTGCCTCAGATAGGGAGGAAGAGGACTCATGGGCTCATCATACAGCATTGCATCATAAAATTGAAAATAATGTAAAAATTTTCTATTAACTTTGCTGTCTAGGTGGTTGGTTAGTTTATTTACGTTGGTACTGTGGTATTTGTTATTCATAAAGTGTATAAAAAAGAGGTTTTAATGTGTGACTTTCTCTAAATTTTTTAAAAAGGTTTAGAACAATTTTAGGCTGTATGTCTACAAAATCAAATTAATTTTAATCAACTATATTGTTTTGGCTTTTTATAAGAAATTGTTGGGTGATTGAAATATTTTATATCTCGCCAAGACTTTTTATTGATGAATAGAATATAAATATGTTTGGTATAAAGCCTGACAATTTGGCCTATGTTTGACCATGTATTCTTCCCAAATCAGATATATATTGACTTCTGCAAATGAGAAGTGTCAGCTAAAAATTAAGTAATCCCTTGTGCAATTACTTGGTTTCAAACAAAATTTGTGTCAGGCACATTATGTGTGTCTCCTCTGATCTCTGTATATTTTTTTTCTTGCCATCCAAAAATCTAAGTTATTAAAAGTTCGCTGCTTGAGTAGTCTGCGGTATATACAGGAAATAGTCTTTAAATTAAGGGGAACGGCTATTATTCTCATTTGTCGTTATTTCATCTTCCATAGAATCATTTTTATGAACAAATGCTTCTCACAATCAAGGATAAATGAACAATTTTAGTCCTTGACCATCACTCACTTAACACATATTGCACTAGGAGACTTGTGCAATAGCTTAAGGCATACAATGGTGTATATTATGATAAAAAGATCTCTGCTGATGCCACAAAGAATAATGTAGATTTTTGCTATTTGCATTTGGTTAATCATTGTTTCATATATGTAACGTAGTGCTGTGATAATATAGATTCCCTTCTGTGTGGTGGTTGGTTGGATCATGGGGAAGCCAATGGATTTGAATTTCCAATTATTTGAGACAGCCACTCTCTTCATTACGGTGTTGGTAGTTGCATTTATGTTGCAGGTATGCTCAAAGACACCTTTCTCTTCGTTTTCTATAAGTACATGAAACCACTTCACTCTAATGTGCTCTTTTGTTTATTTTTCTCTCTCTAAAGTGTATCACACTAGCAAATCTTGGATTCTAGATTACAAATTACATGTACAATCATCATTCCCTATGTATGATTAAGTACCCTGAATACTGGGACTGCATTCGTTACTGTTACCTATCAAACCTGCTAAGCTGGTGGATAGTATGTAGTGGTTATATGTACTTAAGATTGAAAACTCAGCATCCACAACTTATTGAGAAGTGGGTATGAAAGATCTTGATTGTAAACCTTATATAGTCAATCTTCTATTTAAAAAGAATAAAAACTCGGCGTCCACAACTTATTGAGAAGTGGGTATAAAAGATCTTCATCGTAAACCTTCATATAGTTGATCCATTATTCTATTTAATATCGTACGACCTTTATGGTAAAATTATAGGGAAACTGTACGAACATAGCGTTCAGTCCTTCTATTTAATGTGGTATGAAAGATCTTCTATTTAAAAAGAATAGAAACTTAGCGTCCACAACTTATTGAGAAGTGGGTATGAAAGATCTTCATCGTAAACCTTCATATAGTTGATCCATTATTCTATTTAATATCGTACGACCTGTATGGTGAAATTATAGGGAAACTGTGCGAACATAGTGTTCAGTCCTTCACTGTATTAATTGCATTCTTCACCTCATGGGAATAACTAACTGTCCTTCACTGTATTAATTGCATTCTTCACCTCATGGGAATAACTAACTCTTGACATGTTTTGTTCAGCTGTCTTCCTAGAAGCAACTTAGCTACGCCCTATAGGACAAAGGGTGCATTTGCTTTATGTTATATTAGTATTCTTCAACCCTGCATGATATTGTGATCCATGCACCAATTGTCAAGCAAGTCAACAGGCCAAGTTGCTTGTTCAGCTGTCTTCCTAGAAGCAACTTAGCTACACCCTATAGGACAAAGGGTGCGTTTGCTTTTATATTCTGTTAGTGTTTTTCCATTCACCAAATTGTCAAGCAAGTCAACTAAATGTTATTTGGCTCAGAACTAAATATACATTTTCTTCAACCATACCCATTTAGACCTTGAGAGTTCATTTCTTCTTCATTCGTTGATTGCAAAGTTGCCAACTTAGCTATGCCAAATTGCCAAGTTGCTTGTCTCAAAATGTTATTTGGCTCAGACCTAAATACACATTTTCTTCAACCATACCTATTTAGACCTTGAAAGTTCATTTCTTCTTCATTCGTTGATGCTTTATTTCTCTAGGCATAATCTAGTCTTGATTTTATGTCAGGAACTGTCACATCTATTTTGCAAGCATGAGGTCATGAGAATGTAAAAGAATGGACTGAGGATTTCTATTTCCTTTGTGGATTTTCTTTGCACCCTCGAAAATATTACAAGTTTTATGGCTACTTGAGTGTTAAACCTCAAGTTTTATTACTAATACCAGGAATATTGGGTCCTTGGAATTTTTTGATTTATATGGCATTCATCTATAAAATGTATGCTCCTTTTCCAGGAGGGTACAGCAAATTATCTGAAGGGGCTAATGCTGATTCTATGCTATCTCATAGTTGCAGCCAGTTTCTTCGTGCATGTGGATCCTACAACTGGTAAGTCATCAGAAATCTCTACTCAAAAACTGTTATTGTGTGAGTACTCCTTGACGCAGCAACTGAGAGATTTTCTTCCATTTTCTTTTATTGATGTCCTAGCAAATTTGAATTGCGTAGAGTCTGAATATTGAAAAATCTAATGTGCAAAAACCCCCTTTGGAAGAAATAAAAGTGAACCCCCTCAACTTTATAAATTAGAGAAACCTGTCACCTCCTGAACTTCCAAAATTCTATGAACCCCCCTCCCGAACTATTGAAAAATCTCATAAACAAACATTGAGGGTAGAGTAATAAGTTTGAATGATGACAAATCAAAGCTTGTTATGAAAATGAAGTACATAAACAAGACACTGCAATCAAGTCACATGCTTAGAGTTTTTACACCAGTTAACACTATGTATGAGATCTTCATATAGTTCAGGGGTTATAATTTCGGAAGTTCATGGGCGTTTTCCTTGATTATGAAAGTTCAGGGGGTTTCCATGCTAAACCTCCAAAGTTTCAGGAGTGGCTTTTTGAAAATTACCCTAAAAAAAACCTCCTTTGACGCACTCTCACTCATTAACCATTGAGTGAGGGCTCAGTGGCAGAAGCAGTTCATTTTAGGTGTTGAATTAACACGACTCAGTTAGTGAACTGTTCACGTTACTGATTTATATTACAGGTGACAGTTGAAGCCAAGTTGCATCCTCATGATTAGCAGTAAATCCAACACATCTTCCTCTGTACAAATTTGTTGGTTACGTGGGCTGAGCAGTTAAAATTTGCTGGGGCATAACAAAAAGGCTATCAGCAACCAAACTGTTTTATCATGGAAGAAGACTGCTGGTGTGATTTAAAAGCTAAGCAGGAGTTAATCTTGTTCTCTGTGGAATGAGCTTCACGTCATTAGATCTGTTGCAACTGTTGGTGTGATGTACTTCCCAATTTTTTTGCATAGAAGTAAATGTATATTAGAATATCATAACTGTCCTTGTATAATGTGAGTATAGCGCTTACCCCCATAAGGTTTTCGTATAAGAATTGAGTGGAGAGTTCGTGCAAACAGAGGGATTCTGAGCATCAAACCCGTCCTTTTCAAATTGATGTCCTATCTTCAAAATTCACGGCGCATCAAAATTTTCTGATCTATGCAAATAGAACACCTGTCTATGATATACTTGTAATTTTCTAATACTGTGGTTTATAAATGGAATTAGGAAAACACATCCGAGTGTCTAGCTTTGAGATACTGAACATGGTGCGTACTCATACATTCTCAAGTACTTTGTTGGTTGAAGATGGGTCTTCCCACGTACAAATACATTGAAGAATTGTAGACCATTAAAGCGCCATGTAATAGACTGTTTCAGACAATTCTCTAGAACTTACAATCTTATTCAAAACTCATAATCAAAGAAAATTATTTGGCAGCGACAAGATCCACTGATAATTTTTCTTCACCTTTGCCAAAATTAAATTTTCTTAATGACTAGTTTTTGGCAGCAAAGCCCTGAGAGTGAAAAATGTTACAAGGAAAAAGGGGGGAAAGGTAAGTTTTTTGATGGTATTGGGGAGAATTGCAAATAGCATTGAAAACTCCCTTATTGCGTCCGCAGTTCTCTTCAGGCTTTAAGCAAATGGGTCATACAGACCGATGAAGTACATGCGAAAACAACTTTTTGTCATTTCACATATGGCACGTCATAGAAGATGAAAGACCAAAACTTTCATATTGTTCTGCTTTGGGCGATCTTCATGCTTTGGGCTCCAAGCTTTCAACTCGGTTGAAAATAAATGCAATGGTGACCTAATCTTCTTATTTACTCTCCAAAACATCAGCAATAAGCCTGTAAACGAGACCAAGAAACATCTCATTATTCACAATCTACCTAGTACAGTACAATTTCTAAGAAATAGAAATTGATATAATATAAAATCATCCAGATGCACATGAGAGTTAGTAGTATATGCAACTGGAGAGCTTGCTACTCAAACCAGCATACAAATTTCATCCTATAAATGATGATAAATAACTGATTTAGCTGAAAGATCAATTTTATCTTAACATGTATTGACAATTCTGGGCATTTTGGGCATGTAGCTACCATACAGTAGTAGCCTAGTAGCTGAATATCATGTATCAGTAATTGTTAACTACCAAAATCACATGGACTTTGCACAAAATCAACTTCACGCCGTAGACTCAAATTCTTAAGATGACAAATCATCAATTTTATCCTTATTGTGGGTAGTTATCTTGTTTGTTTGAAACTGAAACAACTTAACAGTAATCGGTTGGCTTAATTTATCCTAAAATCTCATTTTTAACTGAACATACGGTACATCTTGCTGTATTTTCCTTCATATACTGAATGTCTAATGACTTGAGAAACATCAATAGTGTATTCTGTTTATCAACTACATTTACTCTACAAACTCTATAAGAATACATTTCACAGAATCAACTTAATCAACTTTTCTTGTCCAAAATGCTGCATTTGGTACGTCTGGTTTCTTTGGCGTTGCAACTTGCAGAACCTACCAACATATGCATGCTTCTTTTGATGTTTGCAGGGTAAACAAATTACTATGTTTCCGGTGCATTATGATGGTTCTTTGGGATTACAGGAAGTGTAAAAGTGACACTCCTTTACCATTTTGGTCTAAAAAGTGACGCCGGAGACACTTTGACCTCGAAAGTGACAAATCGGTGACACATAAGACTTTCTGATTGTCAGAGACAATTTTTGAGAAAAATATTAAAGGAATTTTGCATATAGACCCTTCAATCTCCCATATTTTTCGAATTAATCTCTCTCTCTCTCCTCCCCAATTTTCTAAAATTTGTAAAATTACCCCTACTTTCCACTATCCTTACCATCCTCCCACCATCTCCTCCATTCTCTTCTCCCTCCATCCTCATTTTTTTTCATTTCTCCTTTCTCACTATTACTTTCTCCTGTCCACCATCTCCTTCATTCTCTTCTCCTCCAAATCCCTGACCTCCCCTCCACTGTCCCACTCCCTCTCCCTTCTCCTCTTCCTCTTTCCCACTTCCACTCCCTTCTTGCTTTTCCTACTCCCAATTCCCAACATCAAACATTCTGCCACAAAACTAACCTAATTTTTCTCTTCTTCTCTTCCATTATCCCTTCCTCCTTGCTCCACCCACTCCTTTACCGTCCAATCGTCAAAAACCCAATCTCCTTAAGAGGATATGAGAAAGGAGGGAGAGTGTGATGAAAATTAGGAGGAGAAAAGAATGGAGGAGATAGTGGAAGGAGGAGAGAAGATGGTAGGAAAGGAGGGAGATGGGTTTTTTTAAACAAATTTTAGAATTTGAGGTAAATCCAAAAATATGGGAGATTTGATGAGTATATATGAAAACTTCCTTAATTTTTTTGCTTAAAAGTTAACTCCAGCAAATTGGAAAAGGCTGTGTCACCAATTTGTCACTTTTTAAGTCAAAATGTCATTGACATCACTTTTTAGGCCAAACTGATAAAGAGGAGTCACTTTTTACGCAAATATGGTATTTTAACCCTTTCAAGATTGCAGGGACATACCATGAACTATTGGAAAGTGTCGTCAATAATGTTAGTCTTGAACTAAAAAAATCTAAACTACCATTGCCTATATCCATCTACCCACAAAAGTTACAAGGGTAAGAAGATATGTAAGGTAATGCTAGGGAAAAATTGTCCAAAACATGTCACGTGTTAAGCATGTGAATTTTCCCCAACTATATTGGACAATGGTATATTCGCGAAAAAAAGATGATGATTGTTTCTTCTGATAGAAAGAAGTTAATGGTTGTTCTGTGCTAAACACCTAAGGAAGAGCAAACGATCAGCTTAGTTAGTTTTTACCATTTTCTATTAGGCCGAAATCAAATTGAACCAAATATGAAACTGAACCAAACAGATTAATATTGGTTCAATTTGGTTCGGTGTTTTTGGTTGTTACAGAACTTCATCACCAAGCAGTAACAGCATGGCTGCAAGGGGATAAAAAAATATAACAAAAAAAAAAGGATGCCAGTAATATAAGCGAAGCAAATGATTTTTAGAAGGAAAATTTTCTTTGAGGAATGAAGAAAGTAGAGATTGAAGAAGGAACATTGGGAAATAAATGAGTATTTTAATATGTCATAGTGATGCTTATTCGTAAAAGAAGAGAGATTGACTTCCTTTTGTAGAGATTGACTTCCTTTTGTTCTTTTCTTGGGAGAGTGGAAAAGCCTGTGGTTGTGGATGACAACTAAAAATGAGTTAGGGATCACATCAATGCCATGGGTAAGTGGGACCCGCTGGGAGTGAAGAGAGTCTATAGGGCGTATAACTATGTGTAACTTAAGGTATACAGTCCGTTTCGGTGGATTTGATTTCTAAGTATTTCAACCCGAACCTAACCGACTTAAACACGAAACCAACCCGAACTACTAAAAAGCATGCGATTCGGTCTGTTTAATTAGTTTGCACTGAATTCTGCTTAGCCCTAAAAACACCCCTAGGCTCATGGTAGTTTTGTGAAATTTACCCTCGAAGATATCAAGTTTAACAAGCAATCAAAATGTAGAAACTAAGTCCTATTAAGTTAGAAGATAGGAAATAACGTATCCCAGGACACAAGCTATTCTACAGACATATATCAGAAAGGGAGATGACTGTCACCTTGCCCTTTTTACATCTGTAGACAGGACATTGTCTACCAAGTGAAACACACTAGATATAAACCATAACAGTCTTATCAATAGTTGTCTTTCCATTCTTACCATTTGAAAATGAGTTATTACAATGAGAACTATAGCAGACGCATTGATGCGAAACGAAACAAGGGGTCTATTAGAATCAGCGATTTAATTTAAACAACGCACTGTTTCGCCAAAAATCATGATTTTCGGTAGGAAATTAAATAAAACAACTAATGCAACAGATGGATTTTAACAAGATTTGCAATAATAATAATAAACAATTCCAATCTCAAACAATTTAATCGCAATATCAATTATCATTTTTGCAAGTTCTAAGATCAATATCAAAATTTAGCAGTCACATGTTCAGTACTCTCAACTCACAAAATAATTTAAGCAGTGAATATATGATAAGAGTCTAGAGATTTAATACACATGCAATTAACTGATAATTATGAGATTAACAGAAAAGTAATCTGGAAAACAAAACACAAAATCTCACCCACGGACTATTACTCTGATAATCACCAAAGTTCCAAGTCAACATCATCTCCACTATAGCTCTGGAGGTTGATCTTGAGTGCCACGTTGTTACAGAAGATCAGACAAGCAATACCCAAGCTCCAAAGCTGGTTCAATATCTAATCCACTGTCTTCAATAAAAAACCAACACAGTTACAACCTATGACCCGCTCGACGATGACGAAGAATTGAAGAAGCTCTGCTACAACGTCGGCGACATCATCAAAGACATCCAAATCAAGGGCTCCGAAGAAGAGGAGCCTCCTGAGGACGGTAAATTGGTCGAACCAAAAGAGGAAGAGGCGGGGCTGCTCGGCTCGGGGATGACGGAGAGAAGAGCAGGGGGGATCGGTGTTGACTGGTCAACAGGAATGGGAGCACGAGGAAGATCAGCGGCTTCTGGAGAAAAGGGCGGCGACTGGGGTGAAGAGGAGTGCTGAGCGGCGGCGGTTAGAGGAGGTAAAAGCGGCGATTGTTAGGATGCTAGGAGGAGCTAGGGTTAGGGTTCCGTCGGGGAAGATGAACTTGGGGTGGGCTTCTGTCGGCTGAGGAAGAAGAGAAATAACAAAGAACTACCTAGGGTTTCACACCCACGGTAAAAATATCAGGTAAGACTTCACACCAAAACACAATATTTTAATTTTCTTCATTTATTCATTCAATTTTTCATTTCTGATTACAACCATGCTTTTATAGAGCAATTACAAAATTTAAAATCTCTCAAATCAAATCAGATCCCTCAAATCACTCTCTTGCCAAAAACTGAATAACTACTAATTTAAATAACAATTTAAAATTTAAAATTCAAATTTCAAAAAATTAAAACTAAGCTATTATGGAAGATTTCCAATTCTTGTTCTCATCACGCATACTTAACAATATAATAGGAAAAATTTTCTTTTCGCAGATATGACATTATGTTGATAATATCTTCATGACTTTACTAGTAAATAACTTTCAACTAGAGTCATATTTTAATGAATTTGGACAAATCAACATCATTATAATACTTTCATGGTCTCCTCAAGTCATAATGATGATCTAAGACTCCTATATAATGCAAATGATTTAATCCTTCCACCATCATATTTTACAAATCATTTCATTAGCTATATAAAAAATACCTATCTCCTAACAAGTATGCAAAAGTTTGCGGAACAAGCTGGTAACAAGGTTGTGTAACACAGGTGGGCCCCATCAAGCAAGTTACGAGCTTTCATAATTTTTTTATATTATCGGGTGAAACGTCAAATAGTTACGTCTAACAAGCCATGCAATATTCAGTGAGCTTGAGCTATAGTCACATGGAACTCGATTCGTTCCGGTTCACGAGACAGGTACAGGAACGTGGTCTGCTACTCATTAGGAATCAGGTACGAGGGGGAAGGCTTATATGATACGCTAGGGAATGTGGTACATAATAGGTTCGGTTCTTAAATGTAGGAATCAGAAGAGTTTTGCAGTAGTCAAATTTAAGATTTATGTTGCAATTTAAGTAGCATGCTTTATTTGCTTAAATTTTCATTTTTTGATTGGAAAAGAGTTATTATTTGTCCAATTTTAATTGGTTTGAATTCTAAATCGGGTCATGTTCCACCATGAATTCAGGACGATTGAACTCGGGTCACGGTTCGCTATAGCATCCCACGTTCTCGACTTCTATGAGTTAAGCAACAAATAATTTGGGTTTTTGCTTATAAACCTAAGGATATATGCCCATTTACCTTAAAACCCACGTAGTTCTATACATTCTCATACACCCATAGTACAAAGTCATTTACATACAACAAAATGTATACCTATATATTATAAAGCGTATAATCGCATACTATAGGATGCATAGCTATTCTATAGGATGCACAGTTACATCCTATAGGATGTATAGCTACATACTCAATTGTTTGTAGCTACACACTTTGTATTCTATATTTTGCATTTAAAGGTAAATAAACTTTTTATTATGGGTGTATGAGAATATATAGAACTATGCGGTTTTAAAGTAAACGGAAGTAAAATTTTGGGTTTAAAAATAAAAATCGCTAAACAATGAATTAAAGGTTAGATAAATAACAAAAGAAATCAAGCTTGCACTTTTTGACTTTGATACTTCAGAGCTTTTTCCTGATGATACCCCAAAGTTTATACATTTTTCATTGAGATACCAAATTGCAAGATTCCTTAGAATTTGAGGGACTTATGAGCAATTTCAAAGATTTGAGTGATTAATATGCAATTATAGAAGATTGGAGGAACTAATATCTACATAACCCTAAATCTTAAGTGAATATTTGCATATGTATAGACAAAATATCAAGAAATATTTATAATTATGTGTTAAAAATTTAAAAATGTTTTAAACAAACTTTAGGTTGTAGTATAGTACAAATTTTTAAATTGAATTTTATACCAATTTTATCAATAGATAAATAATGAATATCAAGATTCTGAATGAGGATGCATATTGGTTACACCCATTAACAAAGAATTTATCTTGACGCTATGATAGAGATTACTATCAAATTGGTTTCTCCTTTTATCCAACAAAGTACTATTTATTGTCAAAAAAAGTACCTTGAGGTTTCAAAGTGAAAAGTACAAAACTTTGGGGGTACTAGAGTGGAAACAAGCCACCAAATAACCAAAAGCGTTTTTTCTATATTGGTCCGTTAAATCTTTTATATTTTGGAATTAGTCCTTCAAATCATTTTAAATTGCTATTAGGTCCCTAGCTATTGTGAAATTAGTCCCTCAAATTATTGAAATTGCCATTATGTCTACCTATTTATAAGTTATTTTGAAATTACCTCTTCAAATAACGAATAGAATTAGCAATAGAATGATCTATTTGAAACAACTTATGAGAATCGAGGGGTCTAATAGGAATTTTGATGAAACGACAACTCCAGGGAGCGGTCACGTGCAATGCATGTCCTACTCACTAGTTTAGAAAACATTCAACTTTTTCTACCATTATGTAATTACCACCCTTCTAATTGTAGAACAATGTCCACAAAATTGTGATGTTCTTTTAGTACTTCAACAAATACATAATCAAGAGCTTCAACCAAAAAGTTCACATCTCTTTACCCACATGCTGGTTTAACTATGAACTGGATGTTAATGCTCACTTACAGAATCCATTACATAGAGCACTAGGTTCCGTGATGTATTTCAGTGAATGACATTGGTTTTCATGTAGTTATGGATGATCTCCGTCAAAGTAATTGTTATTCTAGTTCCTTTTTCCTGTTATTTAGTGCCTATGCAAATGGATTTCTATCTTTAGGGATTTATCACCAATCTCAGTCATAGGATTGTATATCATCTGCGTGACTTATATTCATCATCCCACTGACCCAGTCACTGCATGACACTTCTGCAACAGAACTTAGACAGGTCATCTCTGTGTGCAATTTAGCATTCTTAACTTTTTTACTTGACTCATTTAGTGCACCAAATAAGTTTAGCTGAGATGGTATATAACAAGTTATGCATTTGAATCTCCTCATCTGTAGCACACAAGAGAAATTTTGAATTAATATGGAGGTACATACTTGCTAGGATTAGAGTCCAAGACCTCTTATCTATGTACACTTTCCCCCCAAAACCAATTTAGCTTCTTTCTTCCTTTATGGAAGCTTATATATCTAGAAGCCTTTTGTAAAAGCAAGACTTACTTGATTCAAAGAAAAAAACTAATGCAGATAGATATCATTGCAATTGTTCATATATAGAATCATAAAAAACTAAACTACTACAACAACAAATTCAGATCAAATGTAGTTATATCTCAATTGATACTAAATTTTGCAAAATTCCTAAAAGCAAACAGACATATTGATTTTTTTTAACTTGAAATATGAAGGGAATAAATAAGTGACTTTGCAACAATGGAAGAAAGGGAAAGAGAGAAAATCCTAATATAGTATCCTTCACATGATGGAATTGTATGAAGGAAACTACCAACATTATTGTTCCCTTAATGCTGAGCAAAGGGAGCCATACCACCTACAAAGGTGCCACCATTAGGAGCTTGTTTCTAATGTATGTTTATAATGTTGCGGACTAATCAAAGCTGAATCAGATAAATCAAATGACTATATGCTCTTCTATAGAAAATTGTTCACATCAAGATGCAATTATAGATAGCTAGCGACTGAGATTTTCTTCCCATGACATCCACTCTAATAGAAACACTTTGCTCAGGAAAAAATTCTGCTACCTAGTCTACCTGCACATTATTTATAAAGCTGAATTCACTGAAGAAATAACCGAACAAATTAATTACAGGAATACCTGTGAAGGTGAAGAATTCCGCCGTATATCCGAAATTTTGTCAATCAATTAATTTAGTGTGAGCCAGCTCACGCTTGTCGCCTGAGTTCATAATGGGTTTCGGATTGGCACGTTGCATGATTTTGTTATGTTCTCCAATTCTTTACCAAGATAAGCTCGCATTCTTTATTGCTGCCCTTAGTTTCCTTGCATCCCTCCTATATCCTAAACACCAGAGACCGGCAAGAATTGCACGTCTAACTGAAGGAAGCACGGATATACCTTCACCTAAGCAAATAATCATAAGTTTTGATGCCACTCGATATCTACCAGCTTTGCAAAGTCCATGTAGTAATGATGTATATGTGAAAGAATCCTTTGATTTCATCCTACCAAACAAATTCATCGCAAATTCCACATCGCTTGATTTACACAATCCATCAATAAGACTATTGTAAGCTACCAAGTTAGATGCCAGGTCCCTCCTTTCCATATCGTTCAACTTTTTATGAGCATCATCAACATAACCCATTTTACACAAACCATCAACAAGAATAGAATGTGTATATACATCCGAAGCCTCATCTATATCCATCGCTAATTGAATTGCATCTTCTAATTTACCTTCTTTACAATACATATAGATTAAAGTGTTATAACAAGCTACATCAAGTGCAGTACCGCTCTTGAACATTTGCGCGACAAAAGTATAGGCCTCTTTAATCTTACCCACTTTAACCATCGCGCTTATAACCGTACAATAAGCAAAGGCATCAGAAGTGTACCCTCGGCTTATCATCCCCGAAAATACTTCATAACCTTGTTGAAACCTTCGAGATCTAAAGCAACACTTCATCACCGTTGTATAAGTTATAGCATTTGGAGCATACTGTGATTCCCCTAGCTCCTTGAGAATTCTTCTTGCTTCGGCCAACCTACCATATTTACAAAGGCCATCGAGTAAAATATTATATGTCACCAATTCTGCAGAAAACCCATACTGTCGTAATTCCCTGAACAATCTAAGAGCATTTATTGCATACCCAGCTTTGCACATACCATACAATAATGTGTTGTATGTAATTATTGAAGGGGGAACATTTCTCTCGATCATATTTTGAAATATACTAAAGGCGCCCTCGGAGCATCCTGATTTAAATAAACAATGAATCAATGTATTATAACTACATTCATCGGGAAGAATTGAGTTTTGAGACATCTCTTCGAAATATTGAAGGGAGTGGTCTGCTAAAGAAAATTTAGTGGCGCCAGCAATTAGTAAGTTGTAAGTAATAACATCGGGTTTCAATCCCGCTTCTCTCATTCGAGGAATAATTGAATGTGCTTCATGTACTCCTACAAAACGACAATAAGCAGATATAAGAGTATTGTATGTGACAACATCGGGAAGAGAACCAAGTCGTATACTGTCAATAATAACAGCCTCAGCTCTCTCCAATTTCTTAGCCTTGCAGAGAGACGAAATGCATATATTCAGAAGTCTAGTCGATAAACTTCTGGTCATTCCTCAACAACAGCATGAGAAATATCTGATGAATGAGAGAGAGACAAGAAGGTTCTGTTAATTCATAACTCATTATTAGTGAATGGATAGCAATGAACTTAGAAATTTATTAGTCCCAAACATTAGCCTATCCCCCATCATCAAATAAAAGCCAATTTGTTGTAAATCGTCAGAAGCTATAATGTTGCTTCTATAACCTCCCCCAATCAAAATACGACCCATAAGAAATCAGAAGCAATAAATACACAAGTTCAAGACTTTATAAACTAGAAGAAATAAGTTTGAAACTGAGATTGAGGTTGGATGGTCAAACACCAGAAACTATGCAGCATTATTATCCACAAAAATTTGATACATTTAGAATTCTCTAACTAATAAGTATGCCCACCAAGTGTTTGCCTTTTTACCGCAATAAAAAAAAAAGCCAAATTCGATCCTTCTTCTTTCTTCTAAATACAGACTACAAATTTTTAAAACAAATTAAAGATTCAGAGAGTAGAGTGGAAAGAGAACGAGCTTACCAAAGAAGAGAACCAGGAGATATCCAAGGGCGGAGCTTTGAACGATATCAAGTTGCAATTTTTAGAGCTCCCCGATTTTAAAATTTTGTTTTTGGGGTGGAAACTGAGGCTTTTTTTAGGGTTTTCGAGAGTGAGAAAGAGGGGGGATTTTGTTAGTTGGCGATCGGCGACGAAGTTGGTGAGAGAGTGAGTGAGAGGGAGACTAATGGGCCTAGATCCTCTCGTCTTGGTCCAGAATCAAACGAAGAGTGTCCTGCGTTGTATGGGCCTACCTACGGGCCAATTTATATGAGCCGATAAAGGCGTCTGTGGACTCTGTAACCACTAACTTTAGGGATTATCAACAAAACCCCTTTAGATTTAAGAGTTTACCAGGAAATCTCCCAAAACTTTGAACCTCAATTTTCACCGGAAAAATATTCCCTCTATAATTTTACGCTCCTATGTGAAAACTTACGATTAGTTTTTTTTTCTTTGTTTTTGTTTTGTGGGGGTTGTGTGTGTGTGTTTTGCAGGGTGGGGGTTTTTTGTGGGATTTTTTGGGTGTGCGTGTTGGTTGGGGGGAGGGGTTAGGGTTGAGATCAAATCTTAAGATTAAAGAGGCCTTTTTTTGATGAACCCTAAATTTAAAGGGGGTTTCTGATATTACGATAGCTTGTGGAGTGTTATAGATATTTAGTCTCGTGTATATACCCTGCAAACATCAGGCCCATGGGCTTAAACGTCCATTATCCTTAGAAATCTCGGCTGGTTTGGATATTTGAAATCTAATCCAAAGTCAATAGACATCGCAATTACTTGTGTTCTAGAAAATAGTTGCTGATTGATGTTAAAATTAATGTTAGTTTGATATATATTTAGTTCAGAATAAAAAAGTTTAAGCTTTTAGATAAATTATATATACTGACATGGGTGTTAGAGCATGCTACATTTAAAACTCCTTATTGAACTTTAAACATACGGTAATTATAAGAAAACCCACTTTTTCATTTCGATTTATACATAAACCATTCTTAAAGTGAGGTTTTTCTTGCAATTAATTATCATCCATCAAAATTTTACTAAAAAATCAAAAAATAAGCTTACAAAATTCAACTTTAAAGTATAAATTGTATCCTAATTAACAAGACATAATCATTAAGAAAATAAATCCAGTGTCTTGAAAGTGAGTTTTTAAAGGGTAATTGTGGGTTTCTAGGGAAAAAATTGACTGATTGGTGATGGATTGCACTAAAAAAATCTTTTAAAGATGGTTTATACATAAATTTAAATTAAAATATTTTTTCTCCACATAATTATCCTATTTTAGAAGTGTTTTCTAGAAAAAAAACCATGAAACATATTTATTTGTCCATATTCTTTGTAGTGCGAGAGTCCATGAGCAATGATTGGTTCCAAATTACTCAAACTTGGTACCCTGAGTTATTTTAATTCTAGATATAAGAATCACTAACTTTTTTAAAAAATAGACCTTTTTAGCAAAATAATTAGTAAAACAGACCATTTTGCTAAATAATTAGCAAAATCGATCTCTTTCAGACAAAAAAGAAGTCGATTTTGAAAAACATGAAGTTTTAAAAAACACGAAACTAGTAGTCCCGTATGATTTAATAGGCGGATTAAATTATACGGGACTACTAATCCCGTGTATTTTGAAAAATTAAGAAAACCGCTCTCTCCTCTTCTACCCTTTCACCCAAAAACTCTAAATCTCATTCTCTCTCCCCCAAATTCAGCAACCAACTCAAAACTCAAATAGCAAAGACGACGACGATGGCGGCGACCCCATCATCGCCCGCCCCCGCGACCAGAAATTCTATGACTGTTATATGTAATAAGTCAAGAGCTGATCATTGATTTCGTTTTTATTTTCCCTAATATAATATTATCAAATCCTTTTCTTGGCCCTTCAGACTTCAAATCTCCTCTTGTTTAGTCCGGCTTCAAATCAAAAGGCATACTTCTGGAATTGTAATTCACTATGAAGCAGTCCTTGAGCCATAGCTCCAGACATGAAGGATTGAGGCTAGCTTGTGGAAATCTAAGAGGATCGTGTTCCTCTAGTGAACCTTCTAACCATATTCTTGGCTATGAAGAACCTGTAAAGAATAGAGAAAGAAAGGAAAATGGAGAGAAGTTGAGAAAGAGAGATTAAGATTGAGTTGAGGAGAAGAAATCAATATTTTCATTCATAATGATCTTTGATTACATCCCCCCTTTTATACTGTCACTCAAAACAACAAAACAATAAACGTGCACAGACTCAAAACCAACTAAACAGATTTTTACTGTTTGTAACAAACTTTGGACATTTATTACAATCACCCTGGACTTAAAAGTATTGCAAAACAGACCCTCCCAAGCCTGGGTTCAATCTCTCTCAGTGCTCCTGTCTTCCAACTTCCTGTACACCCATTTTCAGCTCCAGTTCAGCTCATCCGACAGGTTGATGCTCCATCCCTGACAATTCCCTCCCCCTTAAATTGGACATTGTCTCATGGTCAAATTTAGGAAACCTCTTGACAAGATCCCAATAAGATTCTCAAGTAGAATCGAAAGGAGAACATTGCTTCCATTTGATTAAAACCTGTGACACCAACTTTTTCCCTTGAACTATTGATCTCTTGTCCAGAATCTTTTCAGGCTCACCAACCAACTCAGTAACATAGCTAGGAGGATCATTTTGAAGGACAACATCAGTACCTATTCTCTTCTTAAGTTGGGAAACATGAAACACAGGATGAATCTGTGCCAGAGTAGGAAGGTCCAACTTGTAGGCAACCTCACCAATTTTTTCTAAGATCTGGTAAGGCGCATAGTATTTAGGGGAAAGTTTATGAGTTTTGTAGGAGGAGACACTCAATTGTCTATAGGGCTGAAGCTTAAGAAATACCCATTCTCCAACATCAAAACTCCTAGGACTCCTATGCTTATCAACAAACCTCTTCATCTGTTATGCTGCCTTTTTCAAGCTGTCCTTAAGAAATTGCAAGGTTATATCTCTGGAAAAGAGAGCTGCATCTACAGACTCTACCTTACAACTCTTAGGAATATAAGAGAGCAAGGATGGAGGAGGTCGGTCATACACTGCTTCAAAAGGTGTAGTATTGGTTGAAACCTTCCATGTAGTATTATACCAAAACTCATCCAAGGGCAACCATTTACTCCATTCCCCTGGCTTGTGATAACAAAAACATCTCAGATAACACTCCAGATTTTTATTAGTTATTTTAGTTTGTCCGTCAATTTGTGGATGACATGCTGAGCTGAATTTGAGTTGGCTCCCCTGCAATTTGAAAAGTTCTTTCCAAAATAAGCTAGTGAACAAAGAGTCCCTATCACTAACTATAGATTTGGGCATCCCATGGAGTTTGAACACTCCTTCAAAGAACACTTGAGCAATAGATTGGGCATTGTAAGGGTGTGCTAATGCAAAGAAATGTGCATACTTTGACAACATGTCAACCACAACAAACATCACAGTTTGGTTTCCACTTCTTGGTAAATTTGTGATAAAATCCATGGACAAATCCTCCCAAATATACTCTGGAATAGGCAATGGTTGTAGGAGCCCTGGGGATGCAACATTTTCTCCCTTAGCTCTTTGACAGGTATCACAAGATTGGACATGTTGTTGGACATCTTTTTTCATTCCTGTCCAGTAAAAAGCCCTCCTCAATCTATGTAATGTTCTGGTAACTCGAGAATGTCCTACAGTAGGACTATCATGATGTTCTTTCAATAAGGTGGTTTTTAATCCTTGGGCACTAGGACTGAGTAAAATTCTGCCTTTATAGTAATAAATGCCCTCTTTCCTTGAATACTCCTCAGTGCTCACATGCCTTTGCTGTAGCTTCTCATCAAGTTCCTTGTAGAAGGCATCTTCAGAGCATAAGGTTTTGATCTCCTTTAACCAGTCACTATTGACCATAGAAATGGCTGAAAGTTCCACTTCTTCTTCATGAATTCTGGATAAGCCATCTGCAGCTTTATTCATTCTCCCTGGTTTGTATTCCACCACATAATCATATCCATGTAGCTTAGCCAGCCATTTATTCTGGACTCCTGCCTGAATTCTTTGCTCAAGAATATATTTGAGGCTCTGGTGGTCAGTCCTTATCACGAAACTTCTACCAAGCAAATATTGTTGCCACCTTCTAGTAGAGATAATTCTTTCTCATAAGTAGATAAGGTAGCATTTCTCCCCTTCAAAGCAAAACTGAAATATGCTATTGGTCTGTCCATCTGCATCAACACAGCCCTAATTCCAGTTCAAGATGCATCACATTCAATCACAAATGGTAAATTAAAGTCAGGCATAGCTAAGACTGGAGAATTTGTTAATGCTACCTTCAAGGATTTAAAAGCAACCTCTGCACTTGAATTCCAACAAAATTGGACCTTCTTTAAAAGGTGTGCTAAGGGCTGAGCTATTGTTCCAAAGTCTCTTATGAATTTTCTGTAGTACCCAGCTAGGCCTAGGAACCCTCTCAACCCTTTGAGTGATTTAGGAATAGGCCACTCAACTATAGCTTGAATTTTATTAGGGTCTACACTAACCCATTCTTGTGACACAATATGCCCCATATATTCAATCTATTTCTGTCCAAATCTGCATTTGGACAGCTTTGCAACTAATTTGTGGTTCTTCATAATCTGGAAAACTTGCTTCAAATGCACTAGATGATCTTCCCACCCTTTGCTATATACCAGGATGTCATCAAAGAAGACCAACACAGACCTCCTGAGCAAACTTTTAAAGATGGTATTCATGAGAGCCTGAAATGTTGAAGGAGCATTTGTGAGACTAAATGGCATAACTAAGAATTCAAAGTGTCCACTATGAGTTCTGAATGCAGTTTTCTGAATATCTGATTCATACATTCTTATTTGGTGATAAGCAGACTTCAAATCCAATTTGATGAAAAATTATGTTCCATGGAGCTCATCTAGAAGCTCATCTATGACTGGTATAGGAAATTTATCTTTAATGGTGGCTTTGTTCAAAGTCCTGTAATTTATACACATTCTCCAGTTTCCATCTGATTTTTTTAACCAAGACTACATGTGAAGAAAAGGGACTATGATTGGGTCTAATGATTCCCCTTTTTAGCATCTCTTCAATTTGCTTTTCAATTTCCTCCTTCAAAAAATGTGCATGTCTGTAGGGTCTGATACACACTGGCTTTGTTTCAGGCTCAAGTGGAATTCTGTGGTCTATCTCCCTGGCAGGAGGAAGG